GCCTCAAGATTTGATAAAAATGACTACTCCTATTTAAACTTTTCTGGCTGCAAATGTACTAAGATAAATGTATATGAACAAAAGTTATTGTCTTTAGATTTAAGTTTAAGAAAACAGTTTGTTTATCCTTTTTATGTATGCAATGTTCAAATTGCTATAATTGTTGCAGATTTCTTATATTATTTTAACCTACAACCAGATCTTAGAAATTGTTGCTTAAACAATACTTACACCAAATTAAATGCTTATGGTATTTTACATGTTGCTAGTATATATTGAGTGAAAATCTGTAATTTTTAATAATCATTATGCTAAGTTGTTAAATGAGTTTCCTCATATTGTTCAAGCTCCTTGTGCAAACCAAATTGTCAAATATTCAGTTCAGCATCATGTTGAAAATTTTGGACCTCCCGTTTTTGCCAAACCACATCAACTTGCACCTGATCGTTTGAAAATTGAAAAAATGGAATTTCAACATCTGTTAGATTTAGGCCACATTCACGCATCCAACAGCAATTATGCTTCGCCATTGCATATGGTCCCTAAAAAAGATATGAATGACTGGCATCCTGTCGGTAATTTTAGAGCCCTTAATGCTTAGACTAAAAAGGACAAATATCCAATCCCTAGTATTATTGATTTCACAAGTGAATTCCATGGGTGCAACATATTCTCCCATGTAGATTTAGTCAAAGCATTTCATCAAATTCTGATTGTTCCTGAGGATGTCCATAAAACTGCTATCTGCACACCATTTGTACTTTTCGAGAGTACTCGGCAATTTGGTTTGTGCAATGCATCAACCACTTTTCAGAGGTTTATCGATGAAGTGACGAGAGGTTTAACTGGTGTATATGCATTTATTGATGATATTTTGATTACCTCAAAAAGCCACAAAGAGCATATTAACAATCTACGAGCTCTCTTTCAAAGATTAGATCATTATGGTTTAGCAATCAAACCCTCAAAAGTGTACATTTGGAGTTTTTACCTTACATTTCTTAGGATGTAAAGTCTCTAAAGAAGGTATTTCTCCCATTCCAGATCGAGTTAATGCCATTTCTAAATTTCCTAGACCAACAAGCTTAACAGAGCTTCGCAGATTTCTTGGCCTATTCAATTTTTATCGCAGATTTGTGCCACATGCAGCGCACATTTTGTCATCTTTAATTAATCTTCTCGAAGGTCATTCTAACAAAAAGAAATCATTCTGTCCAACTAAGAAGACTGAAAATCCTCTTCCGTGGTCTGAGGATGCTGAAAAGGCATTTTAGCATCTAAAGAAGCTCTTACAAAAAAACTACCCTCTTAAGACATCCAATTCCTGGTGCTCAACTCAGTCTTTGGACCGATGCATCTGATGTTGCTATTGGCAGCTCTCTCATGCAACTCCAAAATGGTCAATGGGAGCCAATAGCATTCCTTTCTTTATTTCGGCACATGTTAGAAGGTCGCAACTTCATCATATTTACTGACCAAAAACCACTAACATTCGCTTTCAGACAAAAAGCAGAAAAGTGCTCTCCTCGACAAACTGAGACACCTTGACTATATCTCTCAATTTCCCACTGATATACAATATGTTAAAGGTAGGGAAAATATTATTGCTGACAGATTCTCCCGAATAGAAGTAGGTTCTGTTTCTTGCTCACCTATTCTGGATTTCAAACAGTTAGCCTCAGCACAGCTCACAGACCATGAACTACAACAATTACTAACTTCTAAATCTCCTTCTTTGAAGCTCTCCAAATTTTTCTATTTTCCTATTTTCCGCTTGAAGACATTTATCTCTATTGTGACTCCACAACCAATGTCCCTTGTCCTTCCCTTTTCATTTAGACATATCATCTTCCGAAGTATTCACAACCTTTCTCATCCAGGTATATCTGCCACTTCAAAATTGATACGCAGACGTTACGTTTTGCCTAACATGCACACTTATATCAAAAACTCTGTGAAGGCTTGTGAGAAATGTCAACATTCCAAGGTACACAAGCATACAAAATCACCCATTTCGACATTTTTACTTCCTGATGCCAGATTTTCTCATATTCAAAATAATTTTATTAGCCCATTACCAATTTCTGAAGGTTATCAGTATTGCTTGACCATAAATGATCGCTTCACACGATGGCCGGAAGTAATTCCCATATCTAATATGTTGGCTGAAACAACTTGTAAAACTCTCATTATTTGATAGATAGCTCGTTTTGGATGCCCTTCCACTATCACTACTGACCATAGTCGGAACTTTGAATCGCATCTTTTCAGGGAGTTCATGAACCTGCTGGACACTCATCGTATTTGTACCACTGCCTATAGACCTCAATCAAATGGAATCATTGAACGTTTCCATTGCCAACTGAAAAACAGCATAAAATTGCAAGAGAATCCTCGCTGGACAGAATCGTTACTTCTTATACTTTTGGGTATTAGATTTTCCATCAAAGACGACATCCAAGCAACTTGTTCTGAGTTAGTCTACAGTACTACCTTAAGACTGCCTTCGGATATTTTGTGCTCAGATCAGCTTTCTCCGCTATCTCCGACACCAACATATGTAAATCGTTTACGATCTATCATGCAATCTCCGATTCCCATCGCAACATCAAAGCACTCTTCAGAGCCTATCCACATTCATCCATCTTTAAAATTGTGCTCTCATGTTTATTTGAGATTTGACTCAGTCAAGCCTCCTCTTCAACAACCATACTTAGGCCTCATCCAGTCATTGAGCGATATGATAAAAACCTTTATCATCTCCGTGCACGGTAAAAATCAAACTGTTTTAATTGATCGCCTCAAACCTGCATTTTTCATTAGTGATAAAACCTTTGTCCCTAACATTAAACCTTAAAATAAGACAGACACATTGAAACCTACCATGTCACATGTTCCTAAAACTCACAAAATCTGGATGACATGTCAAATTCCCTCAACATCTGTCTTCCACCTACTATATATAATTTATATATATTGTTATTTATTTAGCATTTCATTATGCAGTTTTTTATTATGTGTTATATATTGTACCTTTTACCTTCACATTTATCATTGTATAATATAAATTCTGTATATTTTGTTTTGTGTATCATTCGGTCTCCCTCACTGGGAGGATACTCTGTGGTGTTACTATGGAAACACCGTACGAAGTTTTGTGAGTTCTGCGCATGCCCGGATGAGCAGTGTGCATGAAGCGGGAATTCCCCTTCTTATCGGAAATAAAGTTTATATATTTTATACTTGTGTCTTGCCGCACCATGGAACTCATAAATAAATTTTTGAAAATGCAAAATTTATTAAAATGCAAAAAAGAATATGAGGTATGTTTAGAAAGAAACCAAACTTTTGATATGACATCTTTAGTGCTTATTGTACAATATTTTAAGCACTCAAAGTAGTCTCCTGTACTGGCAATACACTGTTCCCAATGTTTCTTCCATTTTTGGAAAGGCTTCTGGAGTGCATTTTCTGAGATGGCATGCAGATCTCTTGTCCTTCCAACTTGAGAAACAGGAAAAAGTCTGCTGGGGCTAGGTCCGTGGAATATGGTGGATGGAGCACGTGTGGAGTGTGATGTTTTGCTAGCTGTGGACAAAGAGCAATACGTGAGGTGGCACATAGTCATGATGTAACATCCAAATCTACTGTTTACATTGTTTAGGCCTTTTCCTGCCCACAGCATTCCTCAAACATGCTAGAATTCCCTGGTACACTTCCTTGTTTACAATCTGTCTACATGGTACAAATTTCAGGTGGACAATGCTTTTGTAGTAAAACAAAGGTAACCAACATCACCTTTATCTTTGATCTAGTCATTTGTGTTTTTTTAGACAAGGAGATTCTTTGCCTACCCTGCGATGACTGCACTTCATTTCAATTTCGTCTCATCGCCTGTTATGCCAATAAAAATGAAACCTTTTCGTAATGTCTCATCGCCTGTTAAGAAAAATTTTAATTTTTATTGGCAGTGGCAAGAAGTTCCTGGCTGATTTCAAAACAGGTCTATTTCTGATCGTCAGTCGGCAAATGTGCTATGAATTCTGCACTGATGCGATGCATCTCAAGTTTGTCACTCAAAATTTGATGGCATGGCGCTATGCTGATGCCCACTTTCTCAGCAACTTTTTGAACCATTAAATGATGATTTCCATGAATCACAGCACAAACTATCTCGGTTGTTCCAGATATCTCGATTGGTCCACTATCTTGATTGGCGACAGATCGCCTTGTGGCAAGCTGTCAAGGCTTGGGATTCTCACTGACTGACATTCTGCTGTGTTTGATATGCTTAAACCAATCATAGTACTGTGTGTTACTCATACAGTCCTCCCCATGTTCTGGCTAAGCAACGGAAATGTATTTGTAAATGTTATAGCAAAATTTCATGCATGCATATTGTGTTTTAAGCTCTTCATTGTCACTTTGGCACTAACGCGATTAATGGCTTGTGCATGTACTCACTTCAGCGGCCATAGGTCGCCAACTAAGGTCAGAGCGAAATGTGACAAAATGACAGTTTGTTATTAAAACCTGCTGCTACATTCATTCAGTAGCTGTAGCATGTTCCCTATGCTGGTTGGCACGCTTTTTCAAAAGTTTGGTTTCTTTTTGAATACATCTTGTAATTTCAGTGAAATTGGGAGGAAAAAATAAGAAATGTGTTTATATTTGAGAAACATTCAGAATTAAATATGAGATGTCTCATGTAATATAATAGTATTTTGCCCTAAAACGTGCATAGAATATTGAATGTAATGATAAATTATTCATAAGAATTATAATTGTGTTTCTTACACATTTCATGGTCATAATTTTTCAAAAGAAATAAAAGCACATACATCAGAGGAACTCATTATTTTTTCTTTTTTTTTAACAGCTATAAAATGTGCCATTAGTTTCACTGCTGATACTGTACAATGGATTGTATTAAATTTTTGTATTTTTCCCATTTGTGTAAAATTTAGATTTGTAATTTTTTTTTTTCTTTTCTTTTTTAGTGTTTGAAAGAAAGCTATGTTAAGGCAACAGGTACAGGTATTGCCTTTGATCTTAAGACTTTAAGTTTTTCTTGTACAACACCTTTCTTAAAGCAGAATGTGATTACTGCAGATACAAAGGTTTATCTAAAAGACAAATTTTATTCAGAATGGAAGTTTGAAGAAACATTATTAGATGCCAATCATTGTGTTGCTGTTGCTTTGGAGCTCACACAGATGGTAAAGTTATTTAAATGTTTATGATATTCCATATTAGCCTTTTCAAGTAGCACAAATCTTTTTGCTTAAGCAATGACTTAACTTTCAGGACCACTTAAAAGATACATAGGGAAGGTTTCTAGGACTAAGTTTGGAGCACTTTTCTTTGCATAAGAAGCTCAACTGAAATAATAATACAGTTATTTTTTTGGAAGATTTTGTTCCCTTTCCTCAGCCAAACACAGAAATTTTAACTGTTGGTGAAAAAAAAAAAAATAATAATTTGTACTTCAAAAACTGAACAGTTATTGTTGCCATTGTAGTAAAGGAGGAATACAAGAAAATCTAATGTCATGGCAATCTTTATTTCTTACTTGATAATACAGATGTGGTAAACTCTTTCAAGACCTTAACTTTTGTCTAAGCATAGAAGAGGGTTTGTATGGTCTTCAGGTTTCCTCAGGTCTTTAGGAAACAAATTTTGGTCCTTAAAATTTTGGCCAAAATTGGCAAAAGGTCCTTAATTTTACTTTTGACATTTTTGTGTTTTTTTTTTTTTTTTTTTTTTTTGTGACTGTCATTTTGAGTGTGAATTAACACTCTGGCGGAATATTTTTAGTGATGCATCAGAAAATATCTATTTGATGGGTTAATGTTTGAATTCTTTACTAATAAATATAAATGGTGGATATGCGAGTTTTAGGCAGGAGACTCTGCCTTGATTGAAACATAAGCATTTTAAAGTTATTTCTTTTTTTGCAAATGAAGAGTTCATAAAATATTACATCAAAAATTTTTTCCTTTTTTGAGATATGAGTTGTTTTATTATGCAGTTGTTTTATTATTTTAAATTTGGTGACTTATCAATATTTTGGTGATATCAAGATCTGTTTGTTCACAAAATGTTTTATTCGGAGATTTGCAAATTTATGGATGATTTTTGTCACAAACATAATAACATTTATAAATATCATAAAAATAATGGTAACATATTAAAATTATATTTACAAAATAATGTTAATAAATGTACTAAAATTATATTTAAGAAATGAGAAATAAATAATGTTAATAACACACTTTTATTTTATTCTGCCATATTTTAAAGCGACATTACTTTTTAATTTTATGACTTAAGAATATTTTGATTTGGAAAAGTAATGAATGTTATAAAGCAGAGTTTCTGAACTTTTTAAGAATCAAACAAAAGCCACTGTAATTATTTTTAAATTACTTTTATTTGTTTTCTTTTATATTTTTTCATGATAAGAGTTTTTTTTCCATGTAATTGTTTTAACATATTTAAATGTGTATCAGTTTTCTGTTACAGATTCACTTTACATTTTTTTGTGTTTTTTTTTTTTTTTTTTTTTCAAAATAAATTTTCTAGCTTTTTACTCTTACAGAGTTGGTAGAGATTTTAGACCTAGCATCTCAGAAAGTTGAATAACTTAAAGGGAAGATTTATAGACTTTATAGATGAAATGAAAAATATCTCCATGCTATTAACATGTAATGGACGTGTTTAATAGGAAATTTGTGATAAATTTTTTATCTCTTCAAGATTTTTTGGAAGAACAGTGAAAACAAAATTATTTGAATTAGCTCCTTTTAATCCTACAAGTTGTTCTCATGTGTTTATCTTCCCTTAATTCTTATCTTTTTACTGGACACAAGCATTGAAGCAAGTAAAGAAACTGAAAACCAACAATATACTAAAAGATTCATCTTACCTGTCCCAGTGCACCATACACACCTCAGTGCCTTACCTAAATTCTAAAAATTTTGCCATTCTTACATTTGTTGAAGAAGAAAAATCACTGAAGACTCATGGAAGAGGAAATGGACCTTATATCATTTCATATTTATTCTCAATACTGATAATTATTAAAGAAATAAAATTAGCAGTTTATTCTGTATATTCTAAGTACAGGCAGTTCTTTAGAAAAATATTTTATTAATTTTGAAGAGTAATTTCATCAAAGAAGATATTGATTTTATAAAAGAGAGAAAATTATGCTTCAGAGGTACATTGTTGAAATGTAAACAAATTAGGATAGGAAACATTGATGTATACGTTAAAACAAATAGAAAAGATGCTTAAGAGAAGGAAATTGAATGATATATATGCATGTATATCCGAGGTGACTATACAAGAATATTAAAGAAAAATTCCTTCCACAAGAGGTGACACAATTTTTCAGTCATTTTCTAGTTTCCATAAATTTGGCTTTCAATATTTTGTGAATAATCAACTTCTGAATATTTTAATTTATGTTAATTAATGCTTTTGTACAAATTTTTGTTAATAATGTTTCATTAAGTATCAGTTATGTTTTATTTCTATCATTATCCTTTAATTTTGATGACCAGTGTATTTTTTGTTTGTTGTTGTTGTAACTTTTAATGTATAATTAGAATCAATAATGTAAATTATAATTGCTGTAAAATATTCTTAGTTCTTTTTAATGGATATTTTTAGAAAAAAAAAATATAATTGTAACTATGTAAATAGTATATTGCGACTAGGAATATTTAACTATGAAATTTAATTATTTATAACTAACTGCTTATCCTTAAGAGTTATCTCTACATGTTAAGATAAGTTATGGCCTTTCCTTAATCCTTATTGTAAACGTAAGATACAACACATAAATGTAAAAATTAACATAAATGTTATTCCTTACAACTAATGAGACTTAAAGTAATGAAAATGGGGGGGGGGTGAAACCTATCTCCTCTGTTGTTTCAACAGCTTATTGGAACTTTATATTAAATGCTGTATATTAACTGGATTACCAGCAAATCTACACGAAGCTAGGACACTAATTGTATCAGATGAAGTACAGCTAACGTCCACATCTGTTATGCTCAGTGGCTGTGTCTCTTAACTTATGAAAGACATAAAATGACCATATGTATATACATATATATTTGTTTCTTTGTTTGTTTAGCTTTTAAGTATTTATTTAAAATGGTTCCTTTTTAAGATATAAGATATATACTGAGTTTAAAGTAAAATAAAAAAATCCAAAGGCCCAGTTTTTCAGCAGTTATCTTACAGCACACAGGGCTTGTGGCATGTGCTACTATAATAAATAGGCACTGCGTGCTTCATAACTACAAGCTGTTTAATATATATCTTGTACAAAAGATCATTTTTAAGAATTTAAGGCATCCTTCTTATGTGTTTTTGTTATCATTGAACTGCTAATAATTTTTAGTTCCCAAATTCATTTGGGAAATGAGCATAACTAAAATTTAAATGATGCTTCATTCAAATACTTTTTTTTTTATTTCCAATCAGCACTTGAATTAAAAATGATAAATAATTTGCCAATGATGTAGAATTGGCCAACTGTCCTCTCCAGTCTTGTCGTCTTAAATAGTTGCAGTAGTAATAGTCAGTATATAGATTTGAAGTAATTTGAATGTGTTCAGCTCTAAGAAGAGCATTATCTAGTTTTCTGCAATATTTCATTCTGTACTCTTTTTATTTTTTCATAACTTAATGAAGGAAATGTTATAAATATTTAATATATCATTACCATTTAATATTCACTTTTCATGCTTTTATAAATATTTTAGAATGTTCAGCATGTGAATCAACCGATGAATTTTACCTTTTTGACATTTGAAGAACTAGTCAGACATAGCAAACCATTTGAAACAGTCACTGAGAGCTTTTGGGAAGATTTTAAATCTAAGCAGAAGAAGTACTAATGCTTTATTGGAAGTAAAATGTTGTATATATCCTTTTTCACAGTTTTTGCTGTCAGGTGAGTGAAAAATAAATTTAAACTGATATTTGTTTCAAATCTCAAAATAATATCATAAAGAACAATTTACTGTCTATTTGCAATAACAGTAATTTCTAGTATTTTAACTAATGGTATCAGTCAGCATTTAATACTGTAATATATGAGTATAATGCCATATTTTTAGTATTTTAACTAATGGTATCAGTCAGCATTTAATACTGTAATATACGACTATAATGCCATATTTATATTAAAAAAGTCATTCAGATCTGAAATACAGTGGGTATTACTTACTTCAGTTGTTTCATTGTGATATAAATGCCATTTAAATTTGTTCTCAAATATATTTGTAGATAAATTTTACAGTTGTTTTTTGAACATCATAAAAAAATTATACTTGTTACTGTAGCACCATCAATAATAGATCACAAGACCAGTATTTTCAGAGATCATTAAGCAAGGATCTTTAACTGTATTCTCAAGATTTCACACAGTAGGCTTAATGTTTTAGAAAAGAACATTCCATTAGAAATTAGGCATACTGTACTAATTCAGAAGTCAAACAACAAAAATCAGCGTTATATTTTCAAAATTTTCACAGGACTAGTTTCGATGGTTTTACCGAACCACCATCCTCAGCTGCAAAACCGCAAAACAGCTAAGGATGGTGGTTTGGTAAAACCATCGAAACTAGTCCTGTGAAAATTTTGAAAATATAACGCTGATTTTTGTTGTTTGACTTCTGAATTAGTATTTATTCGGCATGTTATTGTGTCTTAATTAGGCATACTGTATTAGAAAAACATGAATAATAATTTAATTATTCAGCTCCTTCCCAACGATCTTCAGCAATTCTTACTAGTAGTTATTGGAAATCTGCACAAGGTATCAGAAAAACTGGCCTACCATCAGTAAACATATGTGACAGTTGAACACTCTTGGTGGTCTCTTTTTGCCAACCTAACGCATAGAAAGCAACAGTCATTTTAAAAAATGGCGACACACTGAAATTGCATAAAACAGAAGCAATTAACTAAAATAAAAATGCCACGAACATTCATAATAAAACACTTTCTTTTTCCCTAGTCTTCTGCATGTGCACAAAGTGGCCTGTTTTAATTTATATATATATATAAGAAAAAAAAAAAAAAAAAAACAGAGAATTGCAAAAAATTAACTTGATTGAATGTGCATTTCTACTACTAGACAAAATGCCACATGTCCGAAAAAAATGCAAGACTTCCTTTTTCATTAGTAGGCAATCTCCACTGTGGCATTACAGTTTGTTAGAAGGGGAAAAAACATGCTAATCACAACAAGCAGAAACCATAAACATGACCCCCGAATTTCAAAATTGTCCACATTTACCATCACTACCACCGAGATGGCATTACGCAGTTTCATAATTCATGCACAACAATTAATGGGTTGCCAGATAAATACATTTATGTAAAATTCTGGGTTGCCTACTTTGACAGCATAGTGCTTTGCCCTGTGATTCTTATCAGGGTTGTGTGGACAATACAAGTGAAAGAAAAATTTATATTTTAAATGAAAAGTATTCATAAAATTTCATCCAATAAGTTTTTTATGCAATATTTAATGTAATGCTTTTCTTTATATGTAACTTCCAACTTTGAAATATGAAAAACAATGAATTTTTGGAAGCTTTCAACACTCCATGTTGATTTCAAAAGAGTACTCCAAACTGACTTAAATTCACTTACTGTGCATGATTCAGGTTATTGAACTTGTAGGCAACAATTATTATTGGTCATAATAACTACAACTACTTCTACTAGATAATGACTACTACTTTCACTTCACCTTTAGTTTCAGTTTAGTTTCAGAAGGTTGTCATGCCATAAAATCAGTAAGGAGTTAGTGAGGGCTACAAAGAATAATAAAGATGTTATATATGGAAAATAGTGATTCTTGCTTTTTGATTTTTGCTATTTAAATTATTATAAAAAGAACTTAGCAAGCAACCACATACTTGGTGACCTCGGAAATTATTGATAAAGATGTCAGAAAGTGAAGAATCGGCGATTAAAGAAGAAATAGCACGGGTAAGTGTTAAAATACCTCCCTTTTGGGCTGAAAAGCCAGAGATATGGTTTTATCAAGTAGAAGCACAGTTTTCTATTTGTGGAATAACTGCTGAGGAAACTAAATTCAACTACTTAGTATCGCAATTGGAAGCAAAATTTGTAGAAAGTTTATGGGATATTATAAGTGACAATAGCAAAACCAAATATACTGCTGCTAAAGAACGTCTCTTGAACACTTTTAAAGAAAGTGAAAATAAACGTTTACAGAGACTGCTAACAGGCATAGACTTGGGAGACAGTAAACATAGTCAACTTTTACAAAAAATGCGAAATCTTGCTACCGATGGCATTTCGGATAAAGTTCTTAAAACACTATTTCTGCAGAAAATGCCAGATACTGTGCGCAATATTTTAATCGTTAGTGATGAAGATATCGAAAAACTAGCTCTGATGGCGGATCGTATCATCGAAATGCAACCAAAACAAGAACTATACTGTGCCAGCAGTATTGTTTCTCCAGGAACAGATGCTATTGCTGAATTACGACAACAAATTGCAGCTTTGGATAATAAAGTCGAAAAACTAACTGTTACATGAAATTCTCGTTCTCGCTCAAGAAATAGCAGTCGATCATCTAATAATTGAAGTAAATCTCGGAGCCGTTATAACCCTAATGGCAAGTACTGTTATTTTCACTTTCGTTTTCGAGAAAAGTGTTTTCCTGATAGATGCAAACCCCCCTGTGCATGGAAAAACAGCTCCTCGGAAAACGAAAATCAGCAGTAGAATTAGCGGCAGACTCTGCTGCTGTAAATAAAGAAAATTGCCGTAAATTCCGCTTATTTATCACGGACAAAAAACAGGTTTACATTTTCTGGTTGACAGTGGAGCAGAGGTAAGCCTTATTCCTCGTACTTCTAAACACAAACTTATTAGTGACTATAAATTATATACTGCAAATAATACAGGAATTGATACTTTTGGTACAGAAGTTTTAATTCTTGATCTTGGTTTACGCCGAGAATTTCAATTCCCATTTATTGTAGCAAAAATTAGTAAACCCATATTAGGTGCAGATTTTTTAAATAAGTTCAATTTATTGATTGATATAAAGCATAAAAGGCTAATTGATGGTGTGACGAACCTTGCAGTTTATGGTGACATCGCACCCATCTCTATTCATGAAACTGTAAATACAACGGGCAGCTTATGTAAATATTCTGATTTATTTGCTATGTATCCTAGTATAACAAAACCAAATTTTCTTATTTCTACTGTAAAGCATAATGTGAAACATCACATTATAACTCAAAGGACAACCTGTAAGTTGTAAAGCAAGACTATTAGATTCTAAACGGTTGGAAATAGCTAAAAGAGAATTCAAATATATGCTGGACAATAACATCATTAGTCCGTCCAGTTCAGAATGGGCAAGTCCCCTACACATAGTGACAAAGAAAGACGGTTCTTTCCGCCCATGTGGGGATTACAGAAGACTGAATGATTTAACTGTACCTGATCGTTATCCCATTCCTCGAATTCAAGATTTTCAACATATTTTAACTCATAAAACTATATTTTCTAAAATTGATCTCTTTAAAGCGTATTTTCACATTCCAGTAGCAGATGAAGATAAAGAAAAAACTGCTATTATCACACCTTTTGGTCTTTACCAATTCAATGTCATGAGTTTTGGTCTCAAAAATGCCCCCGCGACCTTTCAGAGGTTCATCATTGAAGTTTTTTATGGCCTAGACTTGTGTTTCCATATTTGGATGATGTTTTTGATTGCCTCTTCTTGCGAGGAAGAACATCGTTTACATCTTAAAACAATTTTCCAGCGTTTAGATAAATATGGTCTCCGAATTAATATTAGCAAATCAGTTTTGGGAGTACCTGTAATAGACTTTTTGGGCTATCAAATATCTGCTGAAGGTTCAAAACCTCTACCTGAAAAAATTAAAGCTATCACAGAATATCCGTTTCCAGAAACCATACACCAACTTCGTTCCTTCTTAGGACTGATCAATTTCTATCGGAATTACATTAAAAATGCAGCAGAAACTCAAGCTCCTCTTCATGAACTTTTGAAAGGATCTACAAAAAAAGATCGACGTAAAATACTATGGACCAATGAAACCAGAAAAAGTTTTGAAAAATGTAAACAAGATATTGCTCAAGTAGCGTTGATGGCCTACCCCAATTTGGATTACCCTCTGGCACTTCTCACAGATGCATCCGATTTGGCTATTGGGTCAGTTATTCAACAAAAAGAACCAAATGGATGGAAACCTATTGCATTTTTTTCAAAAAAGCTTAATGATGCCCAGAAAAATTATAGCGCTTACGATCGCGAGCTTTTGGGTATATATTTATCCGTTAAACACTTTAAACATTTACTTGAAGGCCGCGATTTTACTATTTATACGGATCATAAGCCCTTAACGTTTGCTTTTAAGCAGAATCATAACAAAGCATCTCCCAGACAACTCAGACAGTTACAATATATCTCACAATTCTCTACTAACCTACGCCATATAAGTGGTCAAAACAATGTGGTTGCAGACAGCCTATCTAGGATTGAGGACATCGATTCACCTGTTGTTGATTTTGACCTGATAGCAGATGCACAAATTAATGATGATGAACTGCAACAGTTGAAATTGCATTCCAAATCATTGCATATTAAACAGCACCAATTACCATCAGGAAAACTCTTATATTGCGATACCTCTACTTCTAATATCAGACCATTCATACCTCAAACTTTTCGGATGAAAATATTTAATGCAATTCATGGTTTAGCTCACCCTGGAATCCAAAGTACTGTAAAAGAGATTACTAAAAGATTCATTTGGCCGGATATAAAAAAAGATGTTAAACAGTGGGCTCAAACTTGTATCGATTGTCAGAAAAATAAAGTAACTAAACATACAAAATCAGAATATTCTCAATATCAAGCACCAG